GCTTGCGACCCCATGTTTGCCCAACGGGAGGGGGGGCGCTGGTATGGATGAGAGCGGCCGAAGATATCCCTACACTCCGCTAGCCAATCGATGGATCAGGCCGATGGCTTGTCAGCTCAGAGGACGCAATATTATTATCGACGCATTACCTAGAACGAGGCACAATTATAACATAATAACAGGATTCGGATTTGTAACGCGTCGACGCACGCACACGCACACACACAATACACGCATATGTTTTGCTTCTAAGCTTACATGGGGCCAACGTGGCTCCCACGAGAAGCGATGCGCATGTGCTAGAACAAAAAAAAACGCCCGGTTTTTCTTATATTTATGCATGATTAGTTTATGTTGAACTAAGGAAAAACCGCTGGCGGTTATTTTTAACCGCCAGCGGTCTGGCAGTTAAAATAACCGCTACGGAACCTCAGGGAAGCTTCTCATAAGTTAATCATAGACTTCTCAAGAAGCTTCTCATAAGCTTCTCAACCAGCGGAGCAGAAGCATCTGATAAGCTTCTCGTAAACTCTTCAGACACTTCCCAGACGCTGCTCACATGCTATGCATAAACATTTCATAAGTTTCTCAAATGCCTCTCATAAGCTTCAAAAGAAGAGAAGCCTCCGTTTACGTATTTCGGCGGTTGGAATTACAGCCATTTTGGTTGAGATGAATACGAAAATGCTTGGAATTCCAGCGAATTGGTTGTCATTTCTCCCATTTCCTGTTCGAGCTTCCCCCCCCCGCGCAGGGGTGGGGGTCGAACCCCCCCCAGCGGCGGCGCTGGATCGACAAGCGCCGGCGCCGGCGGCTGGCAGCGCCGACGCCCACGCCCCCACGCCCACGCCCACACCCACGCCCACGCCCACGCCCACGCCCACGCCCACACCCGCGCGCCCCCCCTTCTCCCTTCCCCCTTCCCCTGCTTCCAACGCGCCCACGCCCGCGCCCGCGCCCGCGCCACGCCCGCGCCCGCGCCCACGCCCACGCCCACTCCCGCGGCCACGCCAAAGCCCAGGCCCAGGCCCAGGCCCACGCACACGCTCACGCCCGAGCCCACACCCACACCTACGCCCACGCCCACGGCCCCACACCCACACCTACGCCCACGCCAACGCCCACGCCCGCGCCCACGCCCACGCCCACGCCTCCGCCCACGCCCGCGCCCACGCCCACGCCCGCGCCCACTCCCAGGCCCAGGCCCAGGCCTACGCCGGCGCAGGCCTGGGGGCGGGTTCGAACCCCCCCCC